ATATATATATATATATATATATATATATATATATATATATTATCGGCTTGCGAGGAAGCCTGGTGCCAACGTTGCGATAACAATAACAGACTTTGTATTGGTACTTATATAGACTTTTGCGAGAACAGAATGTTCGCATTTCAGTCAACAATTACACATCTCATCAGCAGAAGGAAAAATACAATTAAAATATTTAACATTTAACATTCTGAAGAAGCGCGCTCTCGGTTTACAACGATTCTGACAAGATAGGAAACTGGGAAATTTCTGTAGAGATTATTGCGAGAGGGTAATAATTGATAAGAAGAACGTGTAGGAGCAGCATTTAGACAAATCGCCATGTAAAGTATGGTTGGGGTCGGAGAGGACTTTCTGAGCAAATGTTTCACATGCGGACAAGTGAGGTTCACACAGTTTTTTAGATAGCTCATCAACGGGTATAGAAGACACACGACTGATGATCGACAAACCTCGACGAAGAATTTTGAAGTCTTTCTTTAGTGGACCAGCAAAGACCACCGGAGAACAATAAAGAAGAACGGGAAAAACACATTGATAAACAATAAGTGAAATGATTTTTTGCTTGGCATGGAACTGCCTAAGTCTTCGAAGTTGAAAAGGTAATATGCGGAGATTTGGTACACAGTTGCAAATATGGGATGTCTATTTAAAGTTAGTGTCAATTGTAACTCCTAGATACTTCAAGGAATCTACTGTAGTTAGGGGATCTGTGTTTATGATAAAGGGGTCACGGGGATAAATAGATCAAGAGAGAGTGAGAAAGTACATTCGAAGCACTTGGATAAATTTAGAAATATTACACCTTATAGGAATGTTTGGAATGAACTACAACGAGAGAAAATAAAACGAAAAAAACAATAATTTTCGGTTGACGATGTTTCGACCCTCTTGGACTGGCCTTTTTCAGGTCAATTGACAAATAACAATTGAAACAAAAGCTGAGCACGACGTACAATTTCTTCAGACATCCGTTCCAAATTTGGATCTGATACCGAGAAATTTAGAGACAATCCATAACAAACAGAAAATTCGTGGATATGTGAAAGATTATTTGAGAAATTTAGATACTTCACGGAATCAACTCTAGTTAGGGGATCTGTGTTTATGACAGACGGATCACGAGGATAAACAGATCGAGAGACGAAGTGCATTCGAAGCACTTGGATAAATTAAGAGACAGTCCAGAACGAACGGAAAATTCATGAATATGCGATAGATTATTCGAGAAATGGCTTGGCAGAGGGCTATTTAAATGATTGGGTTGGAGACCTCGCAGACAGACCGCTGNCCGCTGATGTAGGTGTAAAACAAGAACGGAGACAATACGGCACCCCGTAGTAGTCCCAAATTGTTCACAAGTGGTTTAGACGTTTTCCTACCGAGCGGAGTCTGCTGAGTTCTGTTTGTGAAGTAGTCGACGAGCCACGCCAGTAGGTGCTTGGGACAGCCAAATGATTCCAGTTTAAGGAGGAGGGACCGTGGAACAGAGTCAAAAGTTGATGAAAAATCAAAGAAAACACATCTTACAGATTTCGCAGATGCGTCTAAGGATTTGGTAAATTGATGAACGAGGGAGGCAACGGCATCTAAAGTGGTCTTGTTTGATTTATAAACAAAGTGGAGATGGTCTTCGGGGGTACAGAAGGAAGCAGAAAGAGGTTTGAGAATGGCACGTTCTGCCAACTGAAGACCGCATGACGTCGGAGCAATGGGACGGAAACGTTTGAACAGGGTGCTGGATCTGCACGGTTTTGGAATGGGAATGATCGTGACGGGTCTCCAGCAATCGGGAATAGAATATGAACTCAGTGACATATTGAGGATAGAAGTAAATGCATCTGTTGGAGCCGGAGCACCATGCTTTAGAAGGGATGGAGATAAACCGTCAGGGCCAATACCAGTGGATGATTTAGTTGTACAAAGGAGTTTAAATATTTCTTCTCTCGGGGGTTATATTAGCTGCCAATAGACTCCGTTGGTTAGGACACGTTTTGCGTGTGTCCGACGGTCGCCTACCGCAGCGCGCCTTGTTTTCAGTGGATGTTACAGGCTGGAGATAGCCACATGGAGGCCAGTAGATGACGTGGAGACGAGGCATGAAGAAATACACAGAGCAATTAGGTAGAGTAGGTGTCTCTCGTCTTCCGGGTTGGGGTCCAAAAGACTCCGAAACCGCATGGTTGGAGACACTGAAGGTCATGGTTGCGAACTAACAGCAATGGCGATCATGTTGTTACTTCTTATCAGACCAGAATGCTTGAGATTGTATGTATGTGCAGTTGGGTTGTGTACTCTGTGTTGACCATAGAGGTTCGCTTTCTTTTCCCGTCCCTAAAAATCAGCAATCAGTGAGGTTCGCTCCACTGTACTACGCTGTACAATGATGACGATGATGATGATATATTAGCTGTCTTCCGGAATCCACGAAACAAGAGGATCGCTACTCGGATGAACAAATGCCCGATTTATACTCTCAACGTCCACGGTACATACAGTTGGTTTGATTTTCGCTCCACATAGGATCCGAATTCCTTTCTATACATGTCTCCTGTTTTGGCTGCATAGAAGTTGATTTCCATACGTTGAATCGATACGTTTAATTTCTTTTTTTATCACGGTAGGAATGTAACTGACCATTGATGAATTCCGGGATTTGTAGAAATGTTCCCCCTGTCTCCTCAATATTTTCAGTTTCGGAGATGCAGTACGACCATCGGAGAGGAATAGGGTTTCCAACGGGGAAACCGATGTCAAAGATGGGATTGATTGTATCAACAAAAATATTAACATTGTTGTTCAATGAAGGCTCACAGGGAAACAATGAAACTGCATAAGATGGGGCTCTTTGAAGGAGGAGAATACGTTCACGTGATGTGTTTCGAACACGGATTTTGATTTGGTTACTTGACCTAAATGAATGGAAGGCAGAACGGGAATATATCCTAGGCCTAAGAAGCATCAGACTACGATCGCTGGTTGATACGGGTGCACGGAAATGAAAACAGAAGAATTCGGGGTGACTTGTTATAATTCTGTCTACAACGGAGTTACCTCTGGTCGGTGAAACGCATAAATCTGTTAGATCAAAAGCAGCGAGAGGCCGGGTTGAGGCATGGTTAAAATCATCTACAATAATATGCAGGTTGTCCTCAAGTAGTGGAACAAGAAAAGGTAAAAATGAGTCGAAGAATGCCGAGATGGTATTTTACCTACAAAATGGAGCAATATATAGGTTCGTTATGAAGGTACTTCTATGTCGGGAGAATTTACGGTAACACTGAAGAAATAAACAATCAATACCGTTACTTGAGTATGAGTAAACGGCATCTGAATTGCCACACCACGAAGAGTTGACGTAGGTAGCCACGCCAGAACCGGTTTCCTTGCCACATGATTCCCTGTCCTGCCGGTACAGGTTAAATCCGTCAATGGACACTAACGCGTCAGCAACATGAGGGTTCAGTTAAGATTTTTGTATGCAAATCAGACAAGTAAGAACATGAATCCGGGAACTGAGAACAAGCGATAAATCCAAGATATCCGTGAACAATGAACGAGTGTTCGTACTCAGTAGTGATGGGACGGACATTTTTGACGGAAGGGTGCACTTGAGTACAACTTGCCACCCGGCTCGGTTGTGCTTTTTGTGTGAGTTCCGAAATTCGAAAGAATTAAACGTGGTTGAATTAAATCGTGATGTGAATCCGCTAGTGTTTAAGTAAAAATAATTGCGATATGGTATATCGACGAACAAAGGCTATAATAATGACAAAAATCCTTCGAATTTGATGAGATAACACGGGGTTGTAGCGCAGCCAGTCAAAGGGCACGCGCCTGCACAAATTGATTTTCAACATAGAACGGAGAGATAACAATATGAGGTAATTGGTTCATAGAACGACTCGATTCGATTCAATTCTGGAGCATCTCATTAACTTCATACATTACTTCATTCCCGTCCGCTTTAGGCAATCAAACTATACAAGTATCCTTTCCTTTTGTTGGACGCGTGCCTTATATGTTAGGTAGATCGCTGCATTTGGGCGAAATGGAACGATAGGGTGATAACGGAATAACTGGGAGAAATCTAGATGCGTAACAGATGCAACGGGATGGATTACTAGAAAGTTATTGCAGCTGTTGATTGTTTTGACCGCAAATATATGTAACAGGAAAAACGACAGTGACAACCAGGCAAAAACCAAATCTGGAGGCACACACAAAAAAGTAGTATTGGGGTATTCAGCAATGACCTATGGACAGATCTACATGTGAATGAAAAGCTGATTGAAATTAGAAAAAAGGAAGCGTACCGACTGCTGAGTCTGTGAAGACCGCTGCCCTGTCAGACTGGTTGGAGAAGTATCGTGTGCCGTGTGACCAGAAGCAGCGATATGCGAGGAGACACCCAGAAGCATGCTTAAAGGTGGAGTACGAAGACCGGGTGTACCCGTCTCACCGGTGGCACCGACACTGCCTGCTCGGTAACGCTCTTCAATGACCGACTTGAATCGAGCCACACGTTCTGCCTCGGACGGGGGTGGCTCACCGGGAGCAGGACCTAGGTCCAACAAGGCTCCCGTGGCATGCGGACCCAAGTGACCGACGTGTCGAAAATCAGACGGGCCAGAAATCAGACGATTTAGACGACTGGCATTAGCTGTCGGTGCGGCGTTTACGGGCGGAGGGTGTTGCGAATAAAAATTTGAATGGCGCCGATTGGACTGTGAACGGGGACCGCGAACATTGGGTAAATCGGATTGGGGTGGGTTGGAGGTAGGGTCGACCGACTGTGTCACATCTCCATCTCGTGTCAGCAATGTGAAGCGCCGTGGTTTCTATCATTGAAAATAGAAACCAACGAAAATTAATCAATACAGCACAATGATAACTTATTCGACAGCGTCCCTACTCGATGATGTAAAAAAGATCAGCAAATAAATTTGCGTAAATGCAAAACTTGAAAATAGCAATAATTCTTCATACTGTCATTTACCAAGAAAACGTGCAGAAAGGAATTTTAAATTATTATGACCATTCACTACGTATTTTGATTTTGATCACTGCATGCCGGGAAGTGGAAGACGTAAAAAATTGGGAAAAATTTGCTAACACCAAAATATCACATTCACGCGAAATTGCAGAACGGAGAATAAAAAAACCACGATAAATAAACAAAATTTATTGATTAATTTATTGAATATACAAACGTACAGTCAAGTTTCAGGAAGCAGGCTGCAGCCATACAAAGGCTGTCCGCGGAAGTACAGAAATAGGTGGAGCGGTTGGAACCGGGAACTTCCGGGTCACAATTTGGTGACCTAACTACCACCGTGATGAACCCTATGGTCTGAAGTTCGAGCCCCGCCACCCTTATGTTGATCGCCACTCCAAGTCCCGGGGCTTAGGTTACTGGTATCCGTCACTGAATTGTAGGTCTCGTGACTATGGGGGTTACCCCGTCTGCTGTTCATAACACTAAACGTTTGTAATAAAAAAAAATGAGAAAGGTGAACTGTCGGTGGTTCACCGACCCGGATGTTGGCTTTCTTCGTCCTCTCACTTTGGTGGAAAAACATCTCCGTCACGAGGAGGCAGTCAATAGGGCTTGTCACGAGCCGGATTGGGCCTATGTCTGATGAACAACTGTGACAACACCACCGGTAATGGGTGCCCAGAACACAACGTAAGTGGCCGCAATGAACGTCGGAAACTAATCAAGCAAATAATGAATTTTTTCTTTTCCATGATGATCAATGTACAGTGAATTGTTTGGCACACAGTCTGGAGTCCGACGTTTGTGAAATGTACATGTACAAACAGGGGAGGTATTTAAATGTCGATGAAAACAAAGATGGATCTCCGTTACCTTTGCTGCTTTGCTTGATACTCGAATAGTAATTGGTCCGAAAAATAAATATGACACAGCGTCCAAATCTTTTAGACGTCAGCTTATCAAGAAGAATGAGCCCGAGAAGTGGTAGGTAGTATGGATGGATGGATGGTTAAGATCACAAATACTGGTAACAGTTTCAAACCTTTCCGTTGAATAAGGAGTCCGCGTGCATGGAAAGTGTGCTGCAGACGAATAGGGATTTTGACGATACATGAATTAGGATTTAGAATTGCCGACCTGAGCGATCCGAAGAACATTTAAAGGCACAGTTCAACTGAGCTCCACTGGCATTGGCATTGCTTCAATGGAGAAACTCCAGAAGGCTCACACTGGTCCTTCTGCAATTATGCATATCGGGTTTAAAGTTATTTCAGAAGCTTTGAGATCTCCGAACAAGATTGGTTCTCCCAATCGGTCGTATACATTGCATTGGGCTTCTTGCAAGAGGATATCGGGATGGGTTATAAACGCCGAATGACATGAACGAGTATCGAAAACGAAGGCTTTCATGCATCCGATCAATTTCTTTGCAACTCGAGTCTACCTTATTCTCTATCGTTACCCTGATGCTGATTTCAGTTGATTTTCCGATTCTTCCTTTTACTCCTTCCTCAAAATGGGCAGACAAAAGAGAACTAAAACCTCCGCAGGAAAGTGCGGATTGTACAAATCGATACAGAAACATCCGGGTGACGTGACAGAGGTAAACGAATGGCACCCAGACGAAGCAAGAAAAGCGTTACGGAAAAATAAGATGTCTCGCATCCTCAACAGATCAGAACGCTCAGATGTGTAAATGAATAAGCGGGCTGTGTACTACGTGTGCAGACCGCAGAAGCTCGGTGCATTTTCCTTGCCCTAGAAACAGGGCATTAATTTTGAGCTTGAACGTAAGGGTGGAGGTATCGCGCGGTACGATATTCAAGAGACTGAGGATGTAAATGAGGGCCCTGACGCTGCGAATCCATTGAAAATAGCTAATCTAGTAAAATGAGAACTGTTGGGAAAACGAAAACTAAAAGTGAGCTTATATTATGTTAGGGAAATACGCGTTTTAACGCGAGTGTTCCGTTTATTTCGTGCCATATGAGTGCAGATAACCGTTAACTGTCAGACCTACAACCGGAACTTTTCGCTCGTTGTCAGTATGCCAACCTATAAGGACAACTCACAGCCGTCGCGTAGTGGACTGTTCAAACTGAAATAGTTTTGGTCACCAAAAATTCCACTGAGTATTGTGCCAGCCACTTGAAGAAGAAATGCGATTTCGTGAGAGGAAAAAAATGAAACGGACCTTGCCTTATCCCAAAGAGGAAGGGTGTTCTTCCTACGACGGAGGTGCTCAATAGAGGATGTGAAATATGNTCGGAGGGGCTATTGTCTGTTGCGTGAATAGACGCCATCAAATATGATGCAGTTCGGTTGTGCACAAGACGAAAGTCAAGCGGCTGATCGGCGAAGCCGACAATTTCAATCAGCATGCAGTAATAATTTAACATCTGTCGTTAGGGTAAAATAAGGATGGATGAAATGAAAGGAGTAACAAAAGATAACCGGATACGTATGCCCGACGAGCGTGTTTCCAGGGATATTTTGTTCAGCCATTCACATACTACTTATTGTGATATATATCGGCCTAAACCTGAAGAAGCAAATAAGTCGCACATCACAGGTACAAAATTCGCTGGGTACTGCTATTCATGTAAACTAGTGTTTGAAAACAGAAGTCTCTGCATTTTGTGCGTCATATGATATCTGTACTCACCCGCACACGGACGCATACACCCAAGGTGGACGCTTCGGGCACATCGAGCGTGCGTGAGCGTAGGGCTGAGGTCAATTGAGCATGAAGAGGATTGATGGGAACTGCCGGATCTCGGGGTGGTCCGGCCAAATAGATAAGTCGTTGCACTTGCTGATTAGTGGTCACATCCGATGAGATTGTAGATCCCACGGAGCCTGATAGTCCATTGGCCGCACTCTCAGACAGTCCAACACCGGAAGTCGCGGTGCCACTAGCATTTGGATTGCTCATTCCCGATAGGGATGATGTGGGTAAGGATTGGATCAGACAAAGATGAGAATCCCAACAAAGTGGACGCATTAAACGACCACTCAGAGTGGAGACCCAAAGTCCCAGCGTAACCTCATACACGACTAGCCCGGCCTCCGTGAAAACGTACAAATAAGGCCACATGAAGCCAAACGGATTGTTACCAATCAGTTTTGCCGGCCACATCAAATGATCCGGACGCGTTCTTTGTCTGTGTGTATTCACGTACACTCCACAGTCTGGAAGGGTAGAGGCAGGGGGAGAGTATAGAAGACAGGAAAAAAATAAAAATGGTCAGTGGAGTGACACGCGAAAACAGTAAAAGCTCTCTCTCTCACGCACTGTCTGAGTACCCCCTCAAGTGAACATTGGTCAAGATAGACTGATTCGTCACAGTCGATAATTGAAATATGTAAAAAGTGAAACTACCACTAGGAGAAAGTGAATTAATCTCAGACCTAATATAAAAGTTTCCATGCAGTATTATGCGCACATTGATTGAACGATGGCATCAGCAACCAAAAAAGTATCATCCTACAGTGCGCTCAATTTGTAACATGAATGATCTTGAACGATCCACGTGATCAATTAGTTCTTCGACATTTCCGTAAGAGACGTGGAGGCTATGATTGGGACGACCACCCACATACAGTCAAAACATTAGCAGTAAACAAACGGTTGCTATCGTGGAGAACAACCAGAAAAAAGGAGTAAGGGAGAAGGTGGAAGATACGCCCAATGTGATCCATTCTATCGATTTGGTGGCTAATCGATCGATGACTCTGTCTGACACGTGAAATCGAACGTGTCCGGAACTGAAAGGCGAGTAAGTAATAAAATGACAGATGTGGGTCATCCGGAATAGTAAAATGATTTCCCTACAGAAGCTCCATTCATGTGTTCACCCGAAAATTGGTGCTGTGCATTAGGAAATTTTGGAATGACACAGACATTGTCATATCGTGTAATATTCCACAAGGTTCCGTTCTTCTGTCCAGCCTTGTTCATGTTTATTTTTTAGCAAGCTATTGTATGACTTTAATTCCCCCCCCCCCAAAAAAAACGCTTAGATAAGTCCAAATCAAATCAAGAAATGCTTTATACATCCGAGGAGTACATTGTTATCAGTATCTCTCTCCCTCTTTCTCAAAATTACAACCTCAGACTTGGGGTTCCTAGAACCGCGTTTCTCGCCCAAACTGTACTCAACCATGGGTCTCTTAGTGCACAGTTCAATCTCGACTCTTTCTATTCGACAAACTCATGGATCCTTTTGGGTCTTTATCTTTCAAAGAGTGCATATTTCTGGTGCTGAGCGAAAGATTTGTCTTTACTCAGTAACCGGAAGCTTTGTAGGAAACACTTGCTCCTTTCTCGAGTTGTGAATCTTACTAATCCATCACCTCAGTAAACAGAATGATAAGTGCGGTGATTTAATATTATTATCAAGAAATTCAGAATATGGGTACACACATATTATAAGAGAGTTGCTAGAGCATTATTATTTTTATTGAAATAAACCGAATCTGAGACTATCGGCATTACCCATCCCCTTCGGAACATACTCTTAACAAATGTTGTACAATTAATGATGAATGATTTCAGAATGATATCTATCTGGTGGAACCAGCATTGGTCAATGCTGTCACGCCCATCTACAACATTCTGACTTTAGAAACTACAGTTGACAAAGTGAAATAAGTGTGGATGCCTGATCCATCTACATCCCGTCTCCCCTTCGGATCACAGAAGTTGGCGAGTTTCTCTTTCCGCTGTCCCCAAAACCAATCGGTGCAGTGAAAAAAGAACAGAACATGTGAGCCCTTTCGATTCGTGAAAAAAGCTGGTGTGAAACGTGAGCATGAAGTGAATTGTACACACAAATTCGTGAGGTTTTAGGGCATAGCTTTCAATAAACCATCGCTTTTACAGTTAATTCGTCTTCCGGCTAACTGACGGACACAGAGATCACAATGCAGGACAAACAGAGAAAGAGAGAGAGGGGAGTGAGCCTATCAAAGTACAATTGTGCAAGTTGAAAAAATTCGATCCACAAAAAGTCTGAATGGATTTTTTTTCCTTGCACAGAATACGGTGCGATGAAGTTTTCCGTGTAAAATGCAGTAGGTTCATCGCGGAAGCGTGACCGAAGTAACTGAACTGTGGGAGCTTCCCTCACGAAACCACTTACGGATTCGGTTTGGTGTTGTCAAGTGACTGATTTTCCTCCAGAAATCATAGCATTAAAACTATGGTGTTTTAAAAGGCAATTCACCTCCGGGGTAGATAACAGCCGTCCACAAATCCTTACTGACCCGGCAAGTAACAGTTCAGCGATTAAGTGAACAATTCTAACATGTGTTCGACAAGATTGTGCTCCCACTGACATGGAAACAAGGAATAATTTCACCTATACACAAAGGTGGCTGTCACAGTGACCCAGCTAACTACGGCCCCGGTACTCTCTTTCCCGTATTATCGAAAGTCAAGGAATCAATTGTTGGAGACAATTTGATGGGTCATTTGGAAAGATACAACGTCTGATCCGCGATGTAACATGGGTTTCGTCGCAGGCGATCGTGTACCACCAAGCTGCTTCTGGACCAAGAGTGGTCAAAAGCAGTTGATCAAGATGATACAGTGGACGCAGTGGACGATCAGCCAATGCATTCGACCGAGTGAATCTCAAAATACTGCTGAGGAAACCACACAATTTTGGAATTCAGGGAGTTGTACTGGATTGGATAGAAGAATCTCTTCGACAACGCACCATGGCAATTCGGGTTTCTTCGTCACTATCTGATCCTACCAGCGTAGTTCGAGGATTTCTACAGGGATCCGTGCTTGGCCCTCAACTTTTTCTAGTTTTCATAAACGACGTAACGGACATTCTGGGACCACAAACGTAAGTGTTTGCAGATGATGCAAAAATATAGAAAACAGTGACAACCCGACGAGTCGCTGGCACTTAGGAGAAAACTTAATGCTGCTTATCAATGACTGATGGAACATGACATCGAATTCAATGCATAAAAAAGTACGGTCGTGTCCCTTCGTCACAAAACTCAGTTTTCGTACTTCCTGATGTATGCTTACGTATGCCTCGAATGAGGAATCCCGGGGGCCGTACTCCACACAGTATCGCCAGACTCAAGAGGACTTGATCTTGGTGTATCAAATAATGCAGAACCCTGATCACCCATCTCGTTCGCTGTTCTCCTTGTCGTCCAAAACTCACCTCAAAGGGCACTCATCCAAATTATTATTATTATTATTATTATCAAACTTCAGTGCGGTGATTGTCGGTTCGCAGTTCGGATTGACCATTAGCCTAAGGGATTCAATGAGACAGACGAAACCTGGACGGGAGAGTGCTTTCTTTGATGAAGGCGACCGGCAGCTTTGTAGTGCGAAACATTTTCCCACTATGGTGCACAGCAGAGCAGATAAACTCCACGTTCACAGAGACCTGTTAGTCGCTCATCGGAACTGGTAAGCTAAGCCCCGCGGCTGGTGAAAAACATTACGCCCCACAAGCATAGGTGATAGTGAGCCAGGTTAGAGCAAAGATGCGTGAGAGTCCGCGTTTTTAACAAGCTATACAAAAAAATATCATAGATAATTAAATAGGCTGATCCCAAATGCTTTACACGGGAAGTCTAGCAGGACACATTGAACTAAGCTTATTAGTTAAGGACTTCATTTATCGGCGTCTAACTACCTGTTCAGTTCGGCTCTTACAACCAATAACCATGCACTTTCGTGCACCGGTTTTGGTTGCTCATTTGCATATAACAGCAGAATGATTGAAATGTTAACAGCAGATTCAAGCGGAAGATAGCGAATTCACAAAGACTGAAGTTACAAAGATAATGAGTACAAGCATGAACGCCACTGTTTACGACACCCAGCCATATCGCTCGGTGTCTCTAACCATCGGTGACTATGATCTCGGGGTCCCCAGCCAGGGAGCCTAACGGGATCTGTGGGAGCCAGTCTCCTGATTAGGGATTTCATACCCTCATGCCAGGTCTTAGGTTGACCACCTTTGGTTTTCTCCACCCACTACCTGCCTCGGAAAACATCGCACGCTGTGGCGACCCATCTGATGACATGCGTAGCACATATCCCGACCAGCGTAACCTATGGAGGTCGACTACCTGCTCCAGTGGGCGACCGCGGTTGCCTAAAACTGCACCTAACCCCAGCATTGCTCGTTCGGCTGTGCTACCAGATTCGTGCAATACTACAGCGCTGTTCGAACGCAGACAATCTAACTACCTTTGATATTCAGATCATTGGCCACTCCACTCTGTGAAGGTTATTCGATGACCAGCAAGATACTAGTCCACCTATGCGATACAGATAAAAATGGCATCACATTCCTCTGGGATAAGCTGTTTTTTTAAACAGTAAACTCACTCTCGAAAACGAGGAGGAATTCGTCATCGTCTACCTGAATTGACAGGTGTGCATCACATGGCACTTGTTGGAAGAAGGATAAACTTGGATCCAGATCCACAAGGTCTGTCCGAAGTAAGGCTGAGACGTGTGAGAGAGAGAGAGAGAGAAATTACGATATTATGAACCATCAATCAAATGGAATGCGGAAGTCTGGCAATGACAGATGGAATCCGCCACATAATAAGTACATGTAGAAAGGTATACAACAGACAACCAATAATAGTGATACGAATTTCGTCCCCAATTGAATCCACTCGATGATTTTCATGCGTTTAATAACAGTTAAATCATGTTTAATGGCGTTGACAGGAACAAAGTGACCTCTTGCTATCGTAGTGACGAGGGCACGATTTATTGTCTCAGAAATATGCGAATCCAGTGCGTAGAAAGTGCACTGGAAAGTGAGTGCCAGGCATATAGAGCAACTGGAAGGAGGACACGTTTTATTACATGGCCCAGTGAGATGTACCAAACAATGAATGAACACCACAATTACAACTTACGATGACATCCGGCGGAGGTGTGTATTGTGTTGCACTAGTATGTATATGGAATCTAGAAAGACATGTGTGCACTCTAGACACGAATAGCACCAGTTCAATGATTAACGGCGTTCTATCCCAAATTTTGTTATAATAATAAATGTTTTGACATCTTTTGTTTATTGACTACAGAAATGTACAATAAACTTTTTATAAGGGGGCCGTAGCTTTACAAACGAAGCTTGAAGAAATACAGATAACGGGAAGATGGGCGGCGTTGGCGGGGTTCCCACTCAGGAGCCCGCAGGTGGTTATTTCGACAAGCTTGCTACTCAGCCATCGTCGTAAACACCATACAAGTAAAGGTCAAATGTTCAAAAAGAGAAACAGAAGTTGATCTTCATTTCCACGGCAAAAGTCCTGAACGCATTATGCTTCATCAGCAAGGATCAATAACACATGCATAAAGATGGTGTTACGAGTGAGAAGCAATAATAATAATACGCACAGGTGCGTGCGATAGATAAAAAAGAGTTACACGGTCTTAACTAGTCAAAATGAATTTCCACCATTCGTTCAGTTAACATCTCCTCCCGTACGATCAAAGCACAGTCAGGGCCGGCTATCGTACGTCTATTTCTATATATAGAAGCAATAAGCACCGCAAATGTCTTATTCATAAAAACAATGCCATCGTTTTTGTTTACAGGGAATGCATCACTCGGTTTTGGAAGGGATTGTTTGTTATGCAATCATGCTCTCCAGAAGAGATGGTAGATGATGAGTATAGGATTTTTTCGAATCAAACTCACATTTATCGGGTATGATCAAGTTACACTCGGCTATCTAACATGCAGACCACTCTGTCGTCAAATGACGGTCAAGCGATCCGTATCCGACGACAGAGAGAGAGAGAGACACACAAACCGTAATCGCGCGCAAATATTATCCCGCCAGATGAAAATGCGATCAAATAACAGATGAGAGAAAGTGCTCGAAGGAGTAAGCAAATCAACAGTACAAACTCAGACACAAATTGATTCAATCGGATCAACCAAAATCAATGAACAACGAAAAGTACAAACTAACTCAACAACTGAATTCACATTGAAGCATATCTATCAACGACATGGTGTATAAGTAAAAGTGAGTGGGTAATGCATGGGGTTCCAAAGTTGAAAGAAACAACAAAACAGTGAGGACTACTGCGATTAACTGGTAGTCGAACAGAAAAAAGTGCTCGAGAAAACACAACCTCAGGAAATGAATTATTCTGAATGGAGGGAATGATCACTAGCAGTGTTCCCGTTGGAAACTAATGAATCCCATCAAACAGACTTGCGGAAGGTATCGCACAGTAACACAATCAACACATTCGAACTGGTATGCACCTGTGCAGGATATTTCGAGGGTGAGGAGACTACCAGGTTTTGAGCGTTGACAAACGTGTCTATAAATTTGCGGGAGTTTTCGGTGTGAAAACACAACGACTAATTTTCAATTGAGAAAAAAATAAGTTGTCAGCTTTTACAACCATTAGCCACGCATTTTCGTGCACTCTGGTTTTGCTTGCTGTCTTTTGACAGCCAAAAGAGATCAGCAAGGAAAGTAAAACCGAATATATACGGAAGCAGGTAAAATAAAAAAAGAACCGTTCCGACTGTCACACTTACACACCGGCCAGCAACAGTTCAACAAACAAGTTTCAAATGACTAATGACGGGAAAATAACGGCCGTATACATTGGTAGCACTTCGCGCTAATAAACTGTGGTGTTGCCAAAATCTGCCGCTCTTTGCTCTCTCTCTCTCTCTCTCTCTCTCTCTCTCTCTCACACACACACACACACACACACACACTAGAGTTCATCGACTTACCCTGGGCGGGGGAGTCGGTCCATAAATTGTACAGCGCGAAGAAACTGGGACAACCAATGCACAACCAATCACCGCCACGAGCGAATTGAATGGACTGAACGGTGTCTGGGCAGGAGATTTCGCGCAGTCGACGATGTCGACCACGAACCCGAGCAATCTCATAAACCCAAACCGATCGTCGTCCCGCCGCACAGAGAAGACTGACTGTATTGCCCCGACTCATGCCGCAAATAAATTGCGAACAGGTCTTCGGTTCGGACAGTTTGATCGGATCGAATTGCATGCCCTCAATGGTGCCGAGCAGCAAAAGTTTCAGACGTCTTTGTTTTTCTGGAAGACAAAAAATACCAAGAAACTTGTATTCGGGACTGGATACGTGGTTGGAGGTAAAGGAAAACCTTGAGTTCTATGCCATGGGAATGGCTGCATATTCGTTCAGGAAGATCAAATCAGTGTTACGGGTCTGACGAGATGAAGNTGAAGCGTGTTACAAAAGTAATCTCTCAGAGAAACGACATTGTCCCGGGGTAGGGGGTGGGCCTGTATCTCGTTCTCTAAATAGACACGCTGCAATTTTAGCGCACATAAGAGATAGAGCGAAACGGTCGATGAAAAAGAAACTGAAACAGAGCTGGTCCACAACACACGAGCGATCTACACTGTGGACTCATAACTAGCCCATCAGTGGCGCACTGATGGATACGGGGTTAGGAAAACAAAAATCCTCGGCGCAGCTGGGCTACGATCGCAAAGGCATAGCAAACCGAAGAAAAATTGACATTCACGACGAATCAATGAGAACAAAATCGAGGTACGTACTCACCCTGTATGATAACAATCATTTGCAACTCCTCGGCCAATGCTTCGATCTGAAAGACTGGCTTTTTATCACCACGTCGAACAATGGCTGTAAATGAACAAAATCATTTGAGACCAAGTGATCAGATTTTTGAAACGGTGGACACATCTGTCAATCAGATCGACCGAATGGACGTCGCACAGCAACATAAATTCAATGGTATGAGGCTCAGAGTTGGTTGGCCTGTATTATGAACAGCATTATAGAAGAAAAACAGTGTGGCAAAAATTGAACACTTACTTCCATGTTTGATATCCGCAACATGCAAACCGTCGTCCGCTCCAAGCAAGATTCGATCCTCATCTAAGCAACAGTGAATGAATAACACGGTTAAACCCGGCTGTGTGCATCAGCAATGCGATGTGAAACAGATCCAATGGTTGGTATTCAATGAGACCGGTTATTTAGGGGTGGAGGGCAAACAAAAATGTCGAGACACTTGTGCTAGCAGGAAGCGGCGTTCCGGCATTCGCGGAACATCGGACCAGACCGCAGTGAGTCAAGTCTGGTTTGATTTCGATATACGACTTGGTCAACCCAGCCGATGATTTCGGTACACCAGGCTGTGCATAATCATTTCGTGTTATTGGTCTGTCTCCGGTCTGTTTCAAAATCCCCGTTATAATGGTTCATGACTAACTGGGAGCAACAGATGCGGTCAAAGTGCAAATTAAAAGCAATCCTGACGAAGATTAAATAGAACAATTCGGATGAAATCACGTGGATTGTGATTCAGTTTATCGATATAATAATTACTTATAATTAGATTCACCCTGTACTAAAGTGCGTAAATCAATCAACAATAGTAAAGAGGTACCGAATTGCAGATGACGTGGAAACAAAGAAGAATTGGGACTTGAGACAAATCCGTGCCCCAAGATTTTTACCGGTGCTGCACTTCGACAACCAGATACAACTTTTTTGGCGCTGAAACGATGGTTTATGTACAAGTATACATATACATTTAGTGAACAAGAGAGGGTGGGGTAAGCAGACAATTTTTGCAACAACACTCCATTTATGAACCATAGCCTTTTGTGTCCAACAGACGGTGCTCACTATCACAACCGAACAGTCGACGGTAGCGCTGTTGTTATGTTTCTCATGCTCACACATAAAACTGAGGGCCTATCGATGCGACGCTTTGACTAAATATGCCCAGAGGTGAACAAAACTGATTGATGTGGGAGGGGGTAATGAACAAGCACACGCATTAGGTGTTCAAGTTTCTGCAGACATTGTATTATAAGCATTCCAGTTATGGGACAGCTGTATGCACTCAAATGTTGTTTTTATTTGTCAAAATTTTGACAATTAAACTAACTGCTTTAGGTTGATCAACGAGCGACCATTTATCGGCTACACAAAAACCCAAACAAGGAGCTATACAGTAAAAGAGAAGTACTAATAGGACAACGAATCATATAACAATAATATTTTAAGAACAGGATTAAGCCAAGGGCAGATACAACGCCTTCGGGATTTGTAATCGATTTAGCCAAAAAAAGGAATATTAGCACGCCTGTACATAGATGTATTAAAAAGGAGGAAGGGATCGAACTTGGGAAAATGAAATGCTCAATGTAACATTCTCCTTACCGTGTTGTCATGATATAAAGGCTCGCAGATTGTGATGAAACGTATTTCGACATTTTCATAAGCAACAAAGATTTCGAAATGCAAGTTAGCTGTTTGTTTGTTTTTTAAATAATATTGTCCTTAAATTCATTAGCATCAACAGTTAGCACAAACCCGGGATCGGTCCTCATCGATCGGTGGCAGACAGCCCTGTGCACGCTAATTACGGCACTGGTGGTTGCTCGGGGCAAGCACGGCTTAAACCAGATTCGACTGGGGATAGTGCAATCATTCTCCACAGAATGATAGAATGAGGCAAAAAGAGATTGGTCGATAGGATAGCTGAACAGGCGATTGAAGAAATTCTCACATGCTGGCTTACTAAACACTCTGTGATCAGGTTAGAATGCGCAGTTAGATCTTCTGAGTTGAACTGCAGCACGCGCACCATCATCACCACCAACAACAACAGTCAAAAGAGTTGAAGATTCTGCTGACCATCATGAAAGGAATGTGATTCTATGCTGTGGAGTACTACACCCATTGGAGAACCACAGGCTATGTGAAAGCAAGATAAGTGATTACACTTGGAGGAGTCGTTACTGGATGTGCTTATGTCGTCCCGTGCTGTGATGGAATGGGATGCTACCGTGTTTTTACCTGCTGTGCACTGACAGGAGAAATCAGAAATCTCCTGCTCTTTCTCTCTCCAACGCACGCACACACACACACAGTTGACCCCGGGAAACAGTGAACGGAGTGAGCACATCCGGTTGAGGGAAAATGTTTGGACTGAATGCTGTCATTTTCGTGTGTGAGACTGACGGAATCTGTCACTGATCCCCTAACCGTAATTGGTCACCGTTGAACGTGTGCGCGCAACAATATGTAATGATTACGGTTTACAAATTTCAACTAAGTAGTAGGCGGTAAAAAACGTGTGTGAAACAGAAAAAAACATGCCACTCACCGAGAACA